GGAGGGGGGAATTCATTAGAAAATAAATGATAAAGAAAAATTTTACAGGAAAGCATGAAGTTAGGGTTTTTTTTTAATGGATGTTATGGATCACCACTAGTGGATATTGGGATAATTACAAGAATGACACATATTTGGAAGACAATATTGGCATAGATTCTTATTCTTAGTGAGGAATGATAATTCAATAAAGATATGTGTCATATAAATAATACGTTTAAGGAAGGTATAGCATATACTGACCTTATCTTTATGAGAGTTTGCCTGTGAAGCAACAACTGTCAAACAAGCATTTAGAAGCAATACACCTGTTGATAAAGAAAAGAAGATAACTTTCATGAATGCTATCGACAGCATTGTTGCAAAAATATGCATTTTTTTAATGCAGAAGCTCATTGGGAAAATAATTACAAGCATATAGACTTTGGGCCAATAAAGTATAAAAAACATTTCTACTTATGTAAATACTTCAGAGTTCTAAACCAAATGGAGTTAAATTGATTGCCATGTTAAATAAAAAGTATTGGTAGAAGTCTATATAATAATAATAATTATAATTTAATATTTATATTGCGCAAATTAACATGTCGATATGATCAAATGCACATCACAACACTGTTCGGGGGACTTTGGCCAGACTGCATCAGCAGTTTACAAACAATCGAAGGAACCTTATTTGAAGATGCCCCCTCCCCCCAAATCCCAGTAAACAGGCCAGACCACATCACAGTAATCTCGTGAGTGGGTTCTTTAACGTCCCCTGCCTAACCAAATTATCTAATTAATAGATGCAGGAGACGGGACCTATGGTTTATTCGTCCTTATCCGAGAAGACTAGAATGTCTATCCATTTCTTAAAGAAAGGTAGCGCATTCTCCTCAGTTATTTTAAGACCTTGAGTGTTGGTCCGGCCAGGGCTCGAACCATCGACCTCGACCTCCCGCACAACAGTCCAGCACTCTAACCAACTGAGCTAACCGGGAGGCGGTTAGCTCTATGTGTTCTAGGGTTAAATCAATTCACTTTAACTCCCAAGATCTTATTGTGAATTCTCCCCTCTAGCTGCTACACATTCCCTTGTAGATTAGTAAAAAGAATTTGGTGTTACATCAAGCTATCAACCTTTACCTGATAAGTTGGTATTCTTATCACCTGTTTGCTGGATAATGTAGGGATATTATAGGGAGAAGTTACATGTTAATCACTTCTGGGGGTTGAAGGGTTAACAGCAAAACTCAACTCACCTTGTTTAGCCCAACCCAATAGATATCCATGTTTAGGTGGTTCAAAGCCCTCAATATCATTTTGCAACTCTTTGTAGATATTTACCAGACTGTTGAAATTTAAAGAAAAGGACATTACCAATAATCTACCCATAGTCAAGTCTAAAATACATAATTTCTGCTTGAATATTAATTTTTCCCACTCACCTTGGTGGTATACCAACTCTGGGAGGAACACTGAAGCAAAGTCCTGAAAAAGGAGTATTTTTCAAGGCATTTAGGATAATTGTGGATAAACATAAATTACTAATAATAAATCTTAAGGGGAAGAAAATCATTTAACACTAGGTTATGTGAAACATACCATGTGCCTGCCTTGGTCCATGATAAGGGTCCTGACCGATGATCACAACCTTAACCTGAGGTATAAGAATATCACTGACTTGTTAAAGGGACACTGCTCAGGGGGTTTGGGTGTGCACATGTTCTTCTCTCTCTCTTTTTTTAACAGTAGGACAACTTGGCTTGTCTCCAAACACCAGTAAGAGGTTTAAGTTGGCCCCCTCATCCTTGCAGGACACCTGACCACACCCTGCTGCATGTGATTATACAGCATATAAAAACAGTAAGAGGAAAAATCCCCTAAAATCTCTCTTTAAATTTGTTCAATTGGCCTGGCTTTTATTTCCATTTAGAATCGTTTCCTTGATTCTTAGCAATGACCTGTAGCCATAACTGCTTAATATGAGGACAAGATGCTACGATAGGTGTTACTCACAATGTTGCCAAATTGTCTCACTAGTTCAATTGCTGCCTCTTGAACACCATATTACTTTTAAATTTCTTTTAAAGCTCTTAATAAATTATCTCCTTGTTACATTAGTAATCTTCTGCACTTATACACCCCCTCGTAGGTTGTTAAGGTCTTCATTGAAAGTTCAGCTTCAAGTTCCTCCTTCAAATCTGAAAACCTATAGAGACTGAGCATTTCTATATGTGCCCCTAAGTTATGGAACTGCCTTCGTAGCTACATTAGGCATAGTCCCAGTGTTGATACTTTTAAGTCACCTCTAAAAACTCATCTCTTAGAATGTTATTTTATCTCCTAGCTATTGTAAGTTTTATTATTCTATTAGCTATTTCTTAGGTGAAGCACTTTTGAACTTTTGTTTAAAGCCCTATATAAATGATATTATTATTATTATTATTATTATTATTATTATCATTATTATTATTAATTGCATCCCTTCTTATTTCTTGATTAATGAGGAAATGCAGCATGCATAGAAAAAAATTTTCCTCCATCAACACATCTTCATGACCCTGGCCACAGTTTAGTGTGTCAATCATAACCAGTATGTCGTAAATTCATTCATAACTAGGAGTAATAATTTTTGATAAATTAAATCTTAAAAATTACCTCATGGATGTCACACTGAAGAGTCCAACTGAACACATCCTTCTCTGCAATCAGAAAAGTTATAAACATTTTTAGTTTGAGGTCTCATCAGAACTGCATCAATTGTTTCCTGACAAAGTTGGCTCAGTTTGCCCAATTGGGCAAACATTTGTTTTAAGAACATCAAATTTCCGTGGGGCAACTATCAACCGATAGTTTCTCAAAAGAAACACTCTATTGTTTAAATAAATAGCAAGTAGCATGGCCACTCAGAGACCAGCATTCATGATAAAACGCTAGTAGATTTATACATAATAAGAGCAGTTAGTGTTAAATCGCGTAAACATGCACAGTTATAGCGTATTACCGGCCGCGTCCAGAAATTCCATTCCATTTTGTCTGAAATAAGGAGCAATAAGTACGCAGAACATTTGCAGTATATTAAAAAAATGCGTGTTCTCTTAGCTTCTTGTCACTTAATCTGCACTATCATCAGTCATTGGTATGATCAGTTCATCAAACTCGACTACTAGATACCTCTCACTAACTGAGTTCGAGGACTGTACTGTACGGACTGAGTTTTTCAGTCCCCTCTTTGATTTATTCATCAAATCCATATTAACTGTTAAAATATCCAAATCAAAACTCAAAAGAAAAAAAAAGCAACCAAAACCCATACCCTTCTCAGAATTATTGATTACTCTTTTAACATTTCTGTGATTACATGTAATTTCAAAATTATCATGCAAGCCTGGCTATTCTACCTGTACAAAGTAAAAAATGCGGTCAATAACATTTGAATAACTGTTATTGATTAGAACTTTAAATAATAATAATAATAATAATAATAATAATAATAATAATAAAAAAACACTCACCCCTTCCACACACCAGCCAGCTCTAGAGGTGGGGTGGGGGGGTGAGGGATAGGGTGTAATTTGCGTACCTGCTGGATAGACTGTCTTGCGTGATCTCTCTTCTTTCACAAAATTCATAAGCTATTGACAAATAATTCAATACTCATCACAATCACTCTTTATATCATTTAACCACATTTCCATAAGTCATAAAATTGGAGCAATTAGATTGATCGATTCAATGCACACATACTTTCTGGAAATATTCCTTGGTGAATTCCGCTGCCAAAGCTTTTTTCCACGATGGTCCGAAGAACTGAGGACTCTTATTAGCAAGCAGTTTCTTCTGTGCTTCCTCTCGATTAGCTTCGATGCGAGCTCTTTGCTCTGGTGAAAGATTTACAGCCAGCCGCTTCGTTTTTGAAGGCGTCGAATTGGCATTCTCGCCTGTGCCTGCTTCCTCATCTTCCGCTCTTCTTTTGATTCCAGTGCCAGAAGGAATGAAAAAGCTGGAAATCGTCCTTTGAGTTTGCATTCTTCTTTCACTCTTGTTCCAAACTGCAAAATGGAATCTTTGATCAAGAATTAATCAGACTAATCGAAGTACGTACTTCTAATAGCTTCGCGCTTGTTATTTTCCCGCCAATATCATCTAATTTTGTCAGCCAATCACAGTACACTTGACGAGAGACCCTGGAACCGAGGGCTAAAAGCAATCCGCCATATTGGAATCACAGGTGCAGGCTTGTGAAATGTTTCGAATCAAAAGTACGAAAGGGTCACTACTGCAATCGTTTGTAAACTTAGCTAGACCAGCATATTCAAAGGTTTGTACTTTGGTGTTATTTTTGAGATTGGGGAAAACACACACCAGGTGATTCTGCAACTGTTTGATGTGGAGAAATTCTGCGTTAATACTCGTGCTTTCCATACGCTCTGTATATTTATATTGGCTTTTTGTAGGGTCGTTTGTGTTCAGCAAACAAATACTGTTATTCAGAGTTTAGAAGATATGAATCAACTACAACAGGGTCTCCTAGGTAAGTGCTAAGGAATTGTCAAAAATATTGAATTAATTTTAACGTGTAGTTCTGAACTTCAGATGGGGAATTATGTTGGCGATAAATTCCGCCACATCAAGCCTTTACCAGAACAGTTAGAAGTTACCTTATTAAGAGCATGTTAGATGGAAACTTTCAGTGTTCCCTTAATACGACAAGCTTACACTCTTTTTAAAAAAGTGGAATTTTGTGGGATGTGAACTGTACTATCATGATGGCAACAGCTAAATAGTTAGAGTTTTTAGACCTGGACCGGGTTGTTCAAAGGTGGGTTAAGATAACCCAGGGTTAGTGTAAAATTCAATTTCAGATTTGAAAGCTTTAAAAGAAAATTTACTTTAATTCCACTTGTCTACAATTTGATGATTGAATACTCTGAAAAGTATTGGAAATCTTTTCCCAAAACGGCTCTTGAACAGAGAAATATAGAAACCTGGATTAAAATTTAACCCTGGGTTAGCGCTAATTGGCCTTCGAACAACTGGGCCCTGGAGAATAGTCTGCAGACACTTAACACCAAACAATTGTCTTGATGTTACATCTCTAAAGCTTTTAAAACCTTGCTTCAATATTTTTTTTCATAATAAAACATATGATTAAATTTTATGATAAACTTTGTTCAAAACTTTTCTACATGATGTATGAAGGTCAACCAAAGGCTCACCAGCTTGGAAATTAGTAGCAGGAGTAGCATTAGCCAGTGGTGGAGGTGTGGTCGGTGCAGCTTTAGCCTTTCATTACAGCACAGATGTCCGCACATGGTGGATGACAAATTTTCCATATCTTGCACCATATTTGGGTATCTTCGGTGAATCCTTAACAGGGAGCAAAAAACCCCCTATTCTTGGTAAGAAACCAAACAGTGCCTCAAGAGACCCAACAAAGCCTTCTTCTGTTGATGAACCATTGAATCTTGGTCTTTCACCCCAAAAAGCTCCACAAAAGGTAAAAAATGATATCTTAATTGCATAAAGGTTCAGGCTCTCTTTTTCCACTTTTAAATCCTCCTATCTGGTGAATGATTCCTTGACCGGTTGGTTTATGAAATCGTGAAAATTTTCTGCTCTATCCAAACAATTGTTCCATGAGTGTATGTCTTCTGGACTTTCTATTAACATGTAGCATGGTGGTGGGAATCCTGAGTTAACCCTTTGACTCTCAGCAGTAACCAATAAAAAAATTGTTATTACATTATCACTATATCATCAAGTAGAATGTAATAAGAGTTAAGAAAAACCTTAACTATGGAATATTGTTTAGTCTTAAAAGGGCTAAAATTATTAAACGCTTATGGAAAACAGTAGGCAAGTATATGTTGAAATCTCAGTTGTGAAAGTTAGTTGTTTTATTTGTTAATGCACCCTCTAGGTCTACAAGTATTGTGTAAATGGTAGACTGCTTAACTGAGCATTCAAACTTTGCAAACAACAATTATGCTTTGTGTTCCCTTGATGGACATTAATTTGCACCGAACAAACTCTAACTCAGATTACTAGGAATGAATTGTAACAACCATCTGGACCTTGAACCTAGGATTCTGGAACCTAGAATGAATCTTCAATTGAGAAACAGATATGTACAGTGCTAAGGGCACAGAGCTACAGTACAGCTCAGAGGTGCATGGCAAACCTGTGTCCTTCAAGTGCTTGTAGTGGTGATCATCTCAATTCCTGTTTAGTTTCTCATGATTATGATACATATGCACTGCCAAGTACAATTAATAAGTCTGACTCGTTTCAATGCTTATCCTCACTGTTGTAGTATGAAGCAACCATGAGCATTTCTATACAGGTCAGGTTCCCCCTATGTTTTGGTGCAATCCAATTATACTTCAGTCTTGTGTGTAGCTCTCTAGAGGCACTATGCTAATTAAGTGCTGATAACTCTATGCTTACCAGGATGCTGATCTGTCATTAAGAAAGCCTGTTAAGCCTTTGGTGGAGGGCAAAGAATCAGTGGCATCTGTTTCATCAGTTGATCAAACAGGCATTTCTGCTGTTGATCTTGCTATTGCCAGAACAGTTGAAAAGGAAGTAAAACAGAGTGCTAACTCAATAGAACCCAAGAGTGATGCCCCTCAGAACACAGTCGGTAAACCACCAAAGCCTGGCGTTAGAGGAAAAGCAGAGTCACCAACAGCGGCTGTGTCAGCTCTAGATCAAGTGGGTGTGTCTTCTGTGGATCTTGACATCTCTTCTGCTGTGGAAAAGGAGGCTGAGCCTGCTGCTACAGCTAAGATGCCAGAAATTACAGAGAAGCTAGCTGAGAAAGGAAAAGATGCTGAATCTCATGAAATCAAAGGTACAAAAATCAATAACAGAAACTATGGTCTTCTCCAATGATGATTACCAGGCGGTACTCTTAATACACAAGCATTTTTAAACTAAAACACTACAGTTGTTGTTGTGCTTTGGTTCAAAAGTGTTTGTATATCAAGAAGAATCATGTGTTACAGACTGTACCTTGGAACACTAATGTAACAAACCTACATGTACAACAAACTACTATTTTAGCATATACAGGTTTTTCATGAACAGGCTTTTGTGATTTCCTAGAATTGTTGATATTATACAAGGGAGACTACCATCAGGATTACATATGAAATATGACACAGTATGCTAGTTTTAGATACATGAATGCTTCTTGAAATCTTCAGATAGTCATTTCTTTGAAGAAACATTTACAAATGATGTTTACAGCCTTGTTTTTGGCCTCAGAGCCCAAATTAGCATTTAGAGTAATTGAGTGACTAAGCGAAAGATAGATAATCGGGAGGGGAGAGTTGAGGTGTACATGGCACCTCACATTGTTTGGTACCAACAAGCAACATTCATTTTATTGAAACACAGTAAACCCTTTTAAATACACTTAAACTAGAGAAGAAAATAATACTTTGACTAATAGTTCAGCTGTTTTTTAGTGATGGTTATTACATGTATTTCTATTCTTCTGGGTTGCTTGGTGCATGTTACACAGGCACAAGAACATTCCACTTCTGTTACAATTCAAACATATTGAATGTGGCCCAGTACACTGTCTTCACTAGTACTATCCAAAATAATTAGAGAGCCTAAAGATCAAGTTAATAGCAGTAACAAACAGAAAAAATTAACCCTTTGTTTGCTAATCCTGACCTGGGGACAATTAAAACATGAAATGCAATTAGATATGATTGCTTTTTGTAATATCACATTTTGTACATCACCATCTAAACACTTACAACAATTATTTACTAATCGTCAAAGCTGATCTTAACTTTTCATTAGTAGTACAGTTGATTTTCATCTTAACTTTTTTAAACCTAATATATCCACAAACAAAAAAAAATGGTACATGTATTTTACTCAGTACTAATTAAGTTATCTTTGATCACTTGTCTTAAATAATGGGGAACTTCAATGGGGTGCTTATTTTTGTACTTGCCTGATAGGAGTGTACATGTACTTGTACTTATCTGAAGGAATTCCTATTGATTGAAGGTGCTAGTTCAAGGATTTACATTAAGTGTTTTTTTATAATTTTTACAGAGGCAGAGGGTGTGTAAGGTCTCTCCCTGGAAAACAGTTTACCTACAATGTATTTTTGCGTAGGTACATGTCGTATCCAATAACCAGTACCCTTACTCTATTTATGTAGGTGTGGACACAAGCCTTACTGAGAAGGAAGTTGAAGCCCTTGTAGATCAGACTGCCATGGAAGCTATAGTTTATGATGCAGTGGAAAAGTTGAAGGTTACTGGTCAAGAAGCTGTAGAGGCTCAGGAGAAGGCTGCAAAAGCCATACAGGAACATGTTGAACAGCTCAAGAGTGCACTTGCTCAATCCTTGGAGAGTGGAACTTTGAAGGATCTTAGTGATTTGGTACTAAATTCTCAAAAGGCAGCCACTGACAGTGTTATTGCTGCCAAAATTGCTCAGGTGATTAGAATAAAAACAGTTGCCCTCCATAATCTTTTCAATATCCTATGTCAAATTCTCCCTACCACCTGCCATATCCTTCCTATAATTTCAGCTATGAGAATATCGTGTTCAATAAAAATATTTTTTCTCTGTGTATGACGATGTCTTGATATTGTGATGAGATATTGCTTAGCGGTCACTCCTGGGAGTCAAAGAATCCATCTTTGACACAAATCTTCATGTTTGGTTACCTTTGAAGTTTAAAATTACACAATTGGCTGCTTTACGAAGATTGTTATATCAATCAAAACAGGCAAAATCTTTTAATTTGTACAATTTTTTTCAGTGCTCTTTTGAAGTCTCCAAATTTAATTATTCTTCTCTCGTGTGCTTACTTTGCTCTCCCTCGCCCAGTGATGTAAAAAAAATGATAGGGTCATGGACAGATTACTCCTGTTTTGCATAAAGTAAAATACGTCTTTCTCTTTTTTGCAGGTAAAAGTAAATGAAGAAGTAGAAAAAGTTCATGCCATTATCAAGGAAGCTGAAGCTGCTGGGGCTAAAGGAGCAGGAACCACTGCAACAGAAGAGGCAGCGAGGGTAAGTTACAGTGTACAGAAAGCAGCGTTAGACATGAAGCAGGCCAAGGTAGAGGCAGCAGTGCTGGAGGAACATCAGAAAGACTTGGCCAAAAGCAAAGATATGTTCAGGAAGGAGCTACTGGATATAATACCTGGTGCTCTGAAAGAAGAAGCTTTGGAAGGTGTTGAAGAGAAAGATGTTAGGTAGGGTATTCATGATACTGGGCGAATTGTTACATTGTACATTTTGGTCTCGTGTCTTCACGCATACGAAGGACAGTTGTTGAGGTTTCTTTAATTTTAAGAGAAATGATTATTATACCATTGAAGGAAAGGTATACTTTTGTCAGGATGAAGGAGACTTGAACAAAAACGTGGTTGTCTTGACTTTCAAGTTGAAACATACAGTTGTGAACGAAAAGAGACGGAATGTGAAATAAAAGTGAAAGTGCCATGCATTACGGCAACTCTGGCGTGGATCGAACCCAGCCCTGTCGCGAAGGAGTCCAGCGCTATTCTTTTGGCTAAAGCGTCTCCCACCTAGTGTAAAGCCGTTTCATTTTCGCTTTTTAGGTCTGAGTCGGTTCTTTTGGCATATGCTCGAAAAATACTTGATCAGCTAACATAGGAGCTAGTCAGCTACCAAACTGAGGAACAAAAAAGGCTGGAAAACTCCCTTAAAATCCAACGTGAAGAGGATGCCAAGGTAACCGAACTTAAACTGAAACAAGAAGCCGAGAGAATGGCATCCGAGTTTGAAACCATAGCGAAGAAGAAGGTAGGCACATGTGATCTTTAAATTGAAACCCGGTGAAATGTTGTTTTTTTTTTTGGGAGGGGGGGGGGTTGGGAGTCGATTATGATAGTATTGATAGCATAAGAGCAATTTCAAGTACATGTACATGTAAGTGTTGGAAATAATCTAGAATTGCATTAGTGTTACTTTGCTTCTCTTGGTGCCGAACACTCGCATCGCCCTTTGAACCAATTAGATGCCAAACAACTCACTACCTGGTTTCTCCCGTTTTCTGGCGTTTAACCCTTGAAAACCTAACATCAGTATGCATATCCTCCCAACTGTTTTTATACCTATCGTAAGGTGCTTACATAGAGAATTTGCTTTACAATCGATTTTCTTTAATTGATGACATTTCCTCACTTGCCAAGTATGGTTACTTCACGACTCCCTCTCGATATGCCCTCTCCTGTAAAGAAGTGGGAAAAAAAAAAAAAAAAAAGAGATCTGGTGGTTTACGCTTGAGGAAGGCGCGCTTTTTATTTGATATGGGCTTAAAATACGATTAATGAATCAAGTGACCGTGAGATTGTTAGCCTTTTTTTTCTCTCAGGAAGCAGAGCTTTCAGCAGCACATGAGGTGAGCCTCCGACAGCAATTACGTCGCCAGGCAGCAGCATACAGTGATCACTTGGCCGAGGTTCTCCGTGTTCAGGCAACGGAACTAGAAAACAGGTTGGTTTTGTAAGAATGTGCTTCTTCAGCACATCTTTTTTCAACGGTTTAAATATTCATTTTTCATCCTTTATCCTTAAATGGGCTGTTAAGTTTAAAGTGCTTGGATTGTATCTACCGCCCCTTCCCCCGCCCTAGACTTCCTATATACACATATTACGGGCTACATTTACAATTACCCTTTCTAATGCAACGGTGACGTTTTCTCAGGTATAAGGAGGACTTGCAACAAAAAATGGCCGTAGAAAGAGAGGCTTTTAAGGTGCAGTTAGCTGGGGCTCTTGCTCAGTTACGAGGTGTGGTATCAGTGATAGAGGGAAGAGCAGATGTTGAGAAACAAAATAAGCAGGCGCAAAATCTGTGGACAGCTTGTCAGTCGCTGACTACAGCTATCGACAAAGGTGCTACTCAACCAAAACCGCTGCTGCCTCAGTTGACAGCCATTCACGATGCGGCGGCAGAGGATCCACTGGTCTCACAAGTTCTTAACTCTTTACCAGAAGAGGTTGTGTTAAGAGGAGTGCTGAACGAAGAGAATGTGACGCGTCGCTTTTACAAGATCCGGAGATGGTGTCGACGAGTAGCCATGATAGGAGAGAACGGAGCTTCACCATGGACTCACGTGCTGTCGTACATCCAATCTTTCCTAATTTTCGATTCATTTGATCCCGTAAAGCAGGGAGAACTCGTAGATTTAGACAATTTAGATACTTTTGATCTCCTAGCGCGCGCAGAGTACTACCTTCGGCGTGGAAATCTGGAGTTAGCGACGCGATTGGTAAATCAGCTTCGCGGGGAGCCAAAAAATGTAGCGCGTGATTGGTTGCTGGAAGCCAGGTTACTATTGGAAACGAGACAGGCTGTTAACTTGTTGACTGCATATGCTGCTGTATTGGGGACAGCGGGGGCTGATTGATTAGAACTTAGAAGTACAATTATTTTTGAAAGATAGTGCTAGTAAGCTGTCGTTGATAAGTGATGATTCCCTTCAAACTTCATTTTCGACTCACGTCGTGTACTTTATCTTCTACTGCTTTATTTTTTAACATGATTGGTGGAACATTATGGATAAAAGGGAAAAAAGAAAGCCGTGCTACAAATTTGTCATAAACGTGTAGACTGAGTTAAATTTGAAATGATGTTTCTTTTCATTGAAGCTTTGACCAAACATTGTAATAGTTCTAAAGTCTCAAACCTTAAACGATGTTTCCCAGCCGTAATTATGTAACATCAAACTGTTACACAAAAACCCTGATGGCTTAGCCATCTTATGTAACTTGGTTTCGAGGGAAATTCGACAATACATTGAGAAAAGGTTTTAAGGGGATGGAGCTTCGTAATAACGCGCTCTGCCTCTGCAAAAGTTTTTGGTTGACTTTGATTGACAAAATTGCACCGTCTTTGCGCAGCCGGAAACGCGCGTCCAGAGTGGAAATTTCAGAGTTCTTTTTCTTTTTATTTATTTACTCTAATTTCGGGAGTACTTGCGCGAAGTAAAAGTCCTCGACCCAATAGAAGCCGGAAGTAAAAAAAGACATGCGCTTCGATTACGTCACCAAGGAAAAATAGGCAGCAAATTATGACCACTGTGATGAACAATACCGTTGTCAATAAGAATGAAAGCCACGCCAAATCTTTGCTGTTTTGATTCTACCACAATATTGGAGTGAAATAAAACGATTCTTTCGATGACATGCTGAGTGACACGTTGACGCGAGCAGCGTTCTCTGTACTCTTCTAGACAACACCAAATTACCAAATGGGATCACGACGTTACTGTTAATTGTGGTAGAAAAGAACTTTCAAGATGTGAAACTTCATATTTTTAGTCGATTTTCACACAGTTGTTAACTTAAAGGTCCACCTGTCAAAGCAGATTACTCTCGAATTGACTTCAGATAAGTTTCGGGATTAGCTAAAGCCACCTGAACCAGTTAGCTCAATGGATAGTGCGCTGGACTGTTGTGCGGGAGGTCCCGTCTCCTACAGCGTTGGAGTAGGAGACGTTAATTTCCCACACGTGATTACTATGTGATGGATGTCCTCCCCTGGGGTGGGAAGGTGAGATCGATATGGACTGAAGCGGCTGCCAGAGGCACCCGAGAAAATGCCGACGTCTGTTCTCAACCTTAACAACATCTCATTGTAACAAACCTGTAATTCAGCTCTCTGCAAAAGGTTTGATTAAGCATCATATTAGTATCATAAATAGATAAAAGTAATTTTATGTTAGTCTCCTAGTTCCTTGAAACAATGGTATAATGCTGGAAACCACCAATGTTTTCTAAATCCTCCATACCAGAATCAACTGAAGCGTTGTTTAGCTGGCCTATCAGCAAGGGACGTGTTGTGGCCTGGTTTGCTAAATCACTGTGCACTACAGGGTTGATGGATACACACAGAGACAATCTCAGGCAGTAGAGAGCGCATTCTGTTGTAGATGTCATAAACGCGGTTTTATCTCATTTCCAGTTTTTATCAAGAACCTTTTAAACAATCAAGACCGAAACATTTTGAAGAAACTAAAATCAACGGATTGCCACCCCCTGAAAAACATCATTCCTGTCCAAAAGACATATGTACACAATCTTAGGAAAAAAGGCTGCGCGCGCCCAAAAATTAATACACAGCGCTTTATGAACACCTTTGTAAATAGGTTGATATTTAAGCTCCATTTATTGTAATGACATACTTTTTAATTCATAATATGTATGTAGATTTCTGTAGTTTTTCCAAATTCA